AAAAAAAAAAATACCCTAAGTTATCTTCCTTTATCTCTTTGTCTTGCTGTTTGCACAGTCTACCACTTCCTGAACTAAACTTGATTGAGCTACATATCTTGAGTGGTCCAAGGCAGAGGATTTAGATGTTTTATAAATCTACAGTATAGTTTGAGTTGAGAAACACCGGACTAAATAGAATCCTGGTGCTGTGAACAAATGAATGTGCCTTCATAAATGTCTAATCATTGTCTTGTTGATTTAACTGAAGAACGTGAGAAGAAAATTTAGACTTAAGAAAGTGATGGAGAAAATGTTAATAGTTCAGCTTAAACTTAAAAATATATCATAGGGGGCAGTCAGGTGGCGCACTTTAATGCACAACTTTCATGGTTAGATCTAATAGATGAGCAGAAGGGAAAATATAGACTTTAAACAAATTGTTGGAAATATTAGAGCTAAAAGACTTAGGGCATTTACTGAATGGTACCACTAAAGAATATATTTTTTTAGCACCACATGGAACTTTTACAAATATTGGACACGTATTATTGTACAAAAAATTTGTAAGTACATGTAAAAAGGAAAAAAAAGCAAATATATCCTTTCTAGATCATAATACATTAAAAATAATATTCTATTCAGGAAGTACAAACAAAAGACATAAGCCTAAATGGAGACTTAATAATGAAATCCTAAATAATATTGGACCAAAGAACAAATCATAGAAAAAATGAATAATTATGTAAAAGACAATTTTAATAATGAGACAATATACCAGAATTTCTGAGATGTAGCTAAAGCAGTTCTCTGGAAAAAGTATATTCCTTTATAGAAGTGAATGTTGAAAACTAAAAATAAATTAATTTGAAAAAAAGAAAAAAGTATATTCCTAAAAACATAAATTGGTAAAATAGAAAAGGAGAGGATTAATAAAATGTTTATACATTTTTTTAAAATTAGGAACCAACAAATAAGCCCAAAATAAGTACAAAAGTGGACATCTCAAAAGTTAGAAGAGAAATAGATAAATTGAAAGTCAAAATTATTATAGAAATAATAAAGTTAAAAGCTGGTTCTTAGAAAAGATCCACAAAATTGATAAATCTTTAGTTAACCTGATTAAAAAGAGAACAGAAAATGAGATCAACAAAATAAAAAATTAACATCATGAAATCACAACAAAATAAGCAATAAAAAGAATTATCGAACGCAACTTTGCCATCAAAACAGAATACTAAACAAAAGATTACCTTCAAAAATTTTAAATACCCAAAGAAAAATCTTAATACATTCTCAGAAAAGGAAATAGAAAAATGTCATCATGCATATGATCCACATATCAGGATTCTTGGAGTCCTGCATACCTTCTTTACCTTGAGGCTGGACATTACATAGCCACTTTTTGGCAAGACATATTTGGTTTAGAGGCCCAGAATGGGGCAGAGCAGGAAGTGACCATAACAACTCCTACAGTCCCACTTCCTTACTCTGCAGAACAGAAAACCGAGTCAGGAAGAGGTGAACTAGTCTAAGATCAAAAAACAAATCAATGGCCATCCCTTGATTAGATGGTACAGTGAAACAATATTTGGCAGCCTGATATGAGAGGCTGTTCACGAAAGAGGTATGATATGAAAATGATTTTGTTTATGACCCCTCAGAGTTCTTCCTGGGACTCTTGCATAAACTACTCTCTGCTGTTGGAGGCATGATTCTTCCCCTCTGCAGTACTAGAACATGATTTAAAAGATAGCAACAGTATGTTTCTGATTTCACTTCTCTTTTGCATCTCTAGCATGACCCTTCCTGTATGTGCCCTTTTAAAGTCATCTTTATGCATATTGTTGCTTGACGTTAGCTACCAATTGTGTCCAACTGTTAGATTATTGCTCCTTACAGAGCATGTAAGGATGGTGTTTGTATTTTTCTCTCTGGTTTATTTAGTAACCAATATATTTAATAGCATGCATCAGTATACTCTATGCTTGTCAAAGGTATTGCTCTCTCAGGGATTAGGGCTTCTAGTAAAGTATCTGGCTTCAGGATATAAGTAAAAAGTATTTTGGTTTTTTTTTTCCTAGAGATTGTAACTGCATTTGTCTATATAACATGTATATATGTTTGCGTTGTTTAATTTTCTAATAGTACTCGGCCATTGAAAGCATCCCAAATGGTGAATTCCTGCACCATTAGCACTTCTACGCCTTCAAGGTTAGTTGTATTTCTGTGTACCTTGTGATTTTTAAGGATTTGACTTGTTCTGTTCTCCAACTCCTTTTTTCTTCATTTTTTCTCACATTACATAATTCTGCAGTTGTCACCTTTGTTGGTCATACTTTGGTATTTAACCTAGTATAGAGTAAACCTTAACAATGAAACAAGATTTAAAACAGTCCCTTAAGATTCTATTACAAGCCTGTGAGTGTTTTAGACTTGATTACTTTCTAGTTTGTGGCATTTTATAGCCTAAAATTTAAGAGTTATTTCAGAATTAATCTAGTTTGTTTATAGATTTTTGCTTATTTATTTATTAGGAAAAAGTGATATTAATGTTGAATGTTTTATTTCTAAAATGAATGAGTAGATGCAAAATATTTACATGCTCATGTGCCAGGAGGCAATCTAAACTCAGACATGAAGACCTAAATTCAGTGTTGTATCAGACACAGACTTGCTGTGTAACTCTGGGCAAGTCGCTTAACTTCTCTGTACCTTGGTTTGCTCCTCTGTACCACGGGGAGGCTCTACCTCCCAGGATGTTGTGAGGATCAAATGCAGTGATGCCCTTGAAGACCCTTACAAACCTTAAAGCTTTTTACAAATTTGAGCTGGAGTCAGTTACTTTGAGTTTTCATGATTCAGTCACTGAACTTGAGGGATTTTGATATGACTAGAAAAGTACATTCTTGAGGAATGCTGTGCTACAGGAATTTTACTGCTTTACCACAAAATTTAAAGGGCTAGATCTGGCCAAGGAAAGAAGCAGATATTTCCACTCCCTCTTAATGCACTCATCCTCCAAAAATTGGTTGGAAACACCAGTTTTAATATTATACCTCTTGCTCTGAGTGATTTGATAAGTCAGCAGTCTCAAAATTTATCCTGTCTTCTAGAATTTGTCCTAAAATAAATTTTATTCTTATTATTTTTCCATGTAATTAATACCAGGTGGCTTAAATGACTCAAAGTCTGAAAGTGTTACAGGTACAAATATTCTTCCCAAATTTAGAAAATGAGCAAGTAATGAATTTTATATGATGAATATTTTTCTTTAATCTAGACAAGCTACCATCTGTGAATTTGTTACTTATTAATGGAATGTACTCTGTAGCAAATCACTGTAGTTGCCACAAAGAGATGACTTCATTGGACATTATTATGTCTTGATCTGATCATCTGTGCTCCGAGGTCTGTTGTTCTGCAAGCTTGATTTTCTATCACAATTGGAGTGATTAGGCTCTGGCAAGCTAATCATGTTGATAAAACTTAGAAAAGACTTGTTTATGAACCAGAAAGCCGTTTGGTTTTTATATAGTGTCCTTTATTACATCTAACAGACTCTGCATAAGCTACGAGGAAACAGTTCCCTTCCTCAGCAAAGTATTTGCCTGGACACATTATGCCTGGAGGTTTCCTTGGTGACCGTGAAATCAGAGATACAGAATTGACATCATTGATAGGACATTTCTGTCTCAATTTTATTAAAACCTGAAAGATCACCCAGCAGTTGGGATTATTCTAGCTAATAACACCTTCTGGGGCAGCCACCTCCCATAAAGTATTTGGTGTGATTGCTGACTTTTATATCTTTTTTTTTTAAAACTGTGTTTCTATGCAGAGCATAGAATCTTATTTACTGCATTTTATTTACTAGTTTCTTGATTTTTTTTTTCATTTATTGTTTGCAAATTTAGATTTATATTTACATTTCATTCCTGTTCTGTTTTGCAGGGGTAATATCTTGATTTATGTTAATAAAGGAGATCTTTCTTTTGAGCATTTCCTTATTTCTTTTTCAGCTTATAGTGTCTGGGATACTTAGAAGTAAAAATGAATCTTATGATGATGTCAAATAAATGAGATATTTGAGCTAAGTAAAATTTCCATACAAGCTCTAAGTATTCAAACTTATTTTAACCATTTATGAAAATCTTCCTAGAATGTATTACACATTTCCAAACTATCTTAAACTAAGTACATTGGCTATAATTTTATTTTTTTTTATTGATGACATAAGTTTATAACAATGTCAGTTTTTGTTCTTTATTGTAATATAGGAATGCCCTTGAGAGATGTTGGCCTGACTGACCCTGTATTAAATTATTCTAAGATAATCTGTTTTTAATAATTCTTTGGGCTTTTTATTGTTCTGTGTATTAGCTATCACTTGTATATCCTCACTGCTGACAGTGTGTCATCTTTCTAATTTATTGCATTATTTAATACACAGTTTTTTGAGTGAAAACTTAAGGTGACTTCAAGCCTGTCTTGTGGAATAAGGTGCCCGACCTTAACGATTACTTTCTTCTCCCAAAGCCTGTTTTGTTCACTTCCCCAGCTACATTTTGGATGCTTGAAATCTGACTTCTTAATAATTGTGGTATTACTCTAATTAAAAGAGTGAGTGAATTATCTCATGCATAGTGTTAGATTTATTCATTGCTATGTCTGTATGAAATCCAGTTGAGAATACCTTGTTTACAAATATAGTAAACATTTCATTGGAATTAATCATTAGAAGAGAAAAAGACAGAAAGTGGCTGATTAAACTTCCAAAGAGCAGTATTTTGGGAATGAAGCAAATATATGTACATAGATATGTCTTCAACTTTTAGCTAAGTAATTTTCAGTATTTCAATAAATTTCAAAAAAATCAAATATGGTATATGTTCTACTAAAATTTTCTGTGTTGAAAAGTAAAGTTTACCTTTTATTAGTGTTTATGTTCCTAAAAAGAATAACAAAGATAAATTATGCAGAACTGGTATTTTTTTTTAAATTTGCAGGAAATATACTTTCAAATCTAAGAGCTCCATAGGATTCTCCATTGATTCAGACAGTGAGGATGAACTGCTAAAACGTTCTGTGGCCCTCAGCCAGAGACTTTTTGACATGCCAGGCAGGGAGCAACAGGAAGAACTGGAAAAGGTAGGTGATTTCCATGAAAATGTCTGACAAAAATTGCTACCACATAAAGCCAATCATATGTTCTTCAAAATACGGGTTCAGAAAATTGATAAGGGTTAGATACTAAATTTTTTGAGAATAGAGAGTTTTTTCCCTGGCTAGCTCAATAATCTGTGTACAATTTGGTGACTTGGGCTCATAGATTTAAAAACTAAGAGATAATGAGAGGATTTTCCAGAACATCTAAGACCAACCTCTTTATTTTAAAGAGATGAGACCAAGAGTTTATGATTTTCTGAAGGTTACACAGATTTCTTAAGAAGTATGAGTTGTTATGAGTTCTACAGTACCCTTTTACCTTTTGGTCTTCAGAAAATTATGAACTTATTTCAAAATGTTTATTTGTGAGAAAATCATAGTAAAAGACTTAAATTCATTGAATCTGGGCTTCAGATTGTGGCTGGTGGAATCATAGATCAATATCCAATCAACAGTCATTTATTAATACCTGTGCCAGGTCTGTGCTAGATTCTGGAGATGCAGATACAAAGAATGAATCAATCTCTGCTTACAAGGAGTTTATTTTCTTTTCTTTTTTCTTTTTCTTTTTTTTTTAATGAAAAATCCTAACATTTTTTCATGGAAGACTAAAGCAGGAACAATCAAATGTCATAGTTACTCAGCACAGGGCAAAAACAAGAATATTCAAAACATTGGAATCTACCATGAACCTTGCGCCACATATCCCCACAAATGGTTGCTGTGTCCACGGGGAGAGAGATTACACACTTAAACAAACCTAGGAGGAAAACACAAAAGTGGGGAAAGTCACATTCCTGGGGCAACTCGCAACCTTGACTGTAGACTTGGAAGTCTTGGTCTAGTCATAAACAATCCCTAACACCTGAAGCCACTTATTTTTAACTAATCCCGTTCTGATCCTCACCACTCTCTGGCAATGCATAACTACTCTTCCATTGTCAAGCTGATAAAGCAGGGATAAACTGTTTTATGTCATAGCCACCCTGAACAAGGAGCTGAAAATGTGTCACAGTCTTTTAACAAGGACTGTCTCAGTATTGCCCTTGCTCAGTGACAGGCAGTTTCTTTAAACCGTAGAACTCCAGAGCTCTTTGGGTTGGCCTTCTGGGCATTGCAGACAAAGCCTAGTCAGCATTTCTTTTGACAAAATTTTGCTTTCTCCAGTCCACAAACACATCTCAAAACAAAAGAGAGATGTGAGGACCAAATTTTCCTTTCTGTTTCTCTCTCATTAAACCGTAGAGGGCAGTGGAAGGCAACCATGTGCTCTTGGGAAGTCCCTGTCAGTCCGTAGCCCCTCCCTCGGCTCCCTCCCTCGGGCCCCCCCCCCCCCGGCCCCCAGCCAACTCTGTGCGGTTATCTGTCTGAACTCAAAACACTCTGTACACCGCCACATGGGGAGTGGGGGGCAGGGGGCAGTCCAGGAAAGGCTTTTGGTAGAAGATGGGACTTGAGTTGTGTCCTGAAGGAAGAGGGAAATTATGTAAGAGGACAAGGTGGCTAGGTCAGAGTGGGCAGGAAGGGAGTAATATCCCTTGAGGCTGGAAAGATTGTTTGGGACCAGTTATGAAGAGGTAAAAGCTAAATAGGATTTTATATTGATCTTAGAGAAAATAAGGAGCCAGCAGAGTTGGTGGAGTCTCAGAGGAATGACAGTGAAACCTGTACTTGAAGAAAAACCACTTTGGCAGTAGTTTGGAGGATGGACTGGAGTGGAGAGAGACTTGAGGCAGGGAGACTAACTGAAGTGAAGGGGCAAGACTAGGACTGTTTGTGTAAATCTGAGATTCATCTGCATGGAGGTGATAACAAAACCCTTGGGAACTGATGAAGTTATGTAGGAGAGAGAAAAGATAAGGGCCTAGTTCATAATCTTGGCTGATTATTGATGAATCAGCAGAACATATGGAAGAGTGTGCAGACAGATAAGAGTAGAACTGGGAGAAAGCAGTGTCACAAAACCCTAGAAATGTGAAAGTATCCAGAAGAGGGTGGTTAACTGAGATGCTGCAAATAAGCTGAGAAAGATGAGGACTAAGATAAGACTCTCAGATTTGGCAAGTAGGAGATGATTGGTAACCCTGGAGAGAAAGAATAATTTTAGTTGAGTGATGAGATTACTGAATGTGCTAATAGTATAGTGATCCATGATTACTTGAGACATTTGGATTATCTCTTTTTACAAGGGAAGAGCACTTCATGAACATTTTTTTGAGCTTCTCTTATTAAAAGAACAGAATTATTTCAAAAGGCCATTTTGTTGTGGTAGGGTAAACTTTTTTCCATGTAATATTAAAACCAGGGCCCAGTTTGAATGATATTCACCTTGAATGAAAACTAAAAGGACATTCAAAGCCACAATTCTACGTGGTCCTGGAGAACAAAACTAGGAGTAGTTGGTGTAAGTTTCAGAGGCATAGGTTTAAGCCTAATGTAAGGAAAAACTTCCTAACAATTAGAACTATCTAAAAGTTGATTACGAGTTGCTTTGGTGGAGGTGTTCAAGTGGAGGCCGGATGACCACTTCCCGGATATTAGTGAAAGGATTCCTGTTTAGGTATGTATTGGACTAATGACTGACCTGTAGGTCTCTTGGAACTGTTTAGATTATGTCATTGTGCCTTCCTCTCTATAGGTTTCAAAAAGATGCAAAATGGAATCAGATAAATCAGAATTGGGAAACTCAGGATTTGATGGAATGAGTGAAGATGAACTTCTGGCAGCTGTCTTGGAGATAAGTAAGAGAGAAGCCTCTCTGTCTTTGACGAATGAAGATGATGATAAGCCTACCAGCAGTCCAGATACGGGGTTTGCAGAGGATGATATGCAAGATATGCCTGAAAATCTGGAATCTCTGGAGGCAGAAAAATCAAAAGCCCCAATAGAAGCTGGTAGGTTGAATAAAAATAAATGTATCTAGTAATAAACATAAGTAGAACCTTTACAGAGTTAGTAATAGTTTTTAGTGGTGAACAGAAATGACTTGTATAAGAGTGGTATGGGTAATCACTTCTGAAATATTTCCATCTTTTAAATGAACTAATTTTGTTGAATTTGAAACTGTATGTATATAACTAAGCACCTAAGGATGCGCTGAGAAGTATGCCTCTTTCTGGGATGTGTGGCTAATTACTGGATATTATTTTGACTCATGAATGTATATGTTTGTGTCTTAGTTCATGTCTTTCTTCTGTTTGGTCTTACCATTTACCTCAAAAGTTCATGTAAGGTAAAACTCTGAGATGGCCTCCACATCTAGGGACCATTTCCTACCTTCATATCCCTGCTTTTAAACTAGCTCCGTGTTGAGAGCATAAAGGATGCCAGACAAGAAAGTCCTAAATATTGTTTCTACCCCTAACATTAAACTTTAAGCCTCAGTTTTATCACCTACAAAATCAGGATGATACTTGTATTTACCTACCTCATTAGATTGCTTCTAGAATCAGAATTGTTTTTTTTTTCTTTTTTGCAAGGCAATCAGGGTTAAGTGATTTGCCCAGGGTCACACCAGCTAGTTTAGCGTCAAGTGTCTGAGTTCAGATTTGAATTCGGGTCCTCCTGAATCCAGGGCCGGTGCTGTATCCATTGTGCCACCTAGCTGCCCTTCAGAATTGTTTTAAAAACCTTCGAGTCAAATCCAAGGTGGTAACAACATTATTATTTTAGTGCCCTGCCTGCCAGTGGAAGACATGAACTGAGACTCTTTGCTTTGGCCTATTCCATGAAGCATTGTGGATATTTTTGAAATATTGGTGGTTTCACCAAAACCTTTCATCCACTACCCATCAGCATGCCAACTTTTTTCCCTCATGACGGCAAGTTCTTAAAAATTTGTAATATGTGAGATATATAAATAGGCAATGAATTATAGAATTAATTTTATTCTACATGTGTTGAATAAAAGCCGGTATTGTTATAGTGGGCTATCTATTCTACTCTCTTGTGAATTTTTGTAATTTTGTTTTTTTCAATCAGCGAAAATCTATCTTCTCTCTGCCTCCCCACCCCTCAATTGAGAATGAAAGAAAAACAAAATCACAGTTACAAAAATATGAAGTTAAAACAAATTTCCACCTTGGCTATGTCCAAAAATGTGTTTCCTTCTGCACTCTGAGTCCTTCATCTCTCTATCAAGAGGTGAGGAGCATTTTTCATCATCATCATCATTGTTGTGGTTGTTCAGTTGTTCCTCCACTATCTCTCAAAGTCTGTCCAACTTTATTTTTGTTGTTACTCTGACATTATCTATCCATTTCATCCTCTCCCATCCCCTTTTCCTTTTGCCTTTAGTCTTTCTCAGCGTTAGGGTCTTTTTAATGAGTCCTGTCTGTGGCCAAAGTATTTAAGCTTCAGCTTCAGTATTTGGCCTTATAGTGAATAGCCTGAATTAAATTTTTTTAGACATGAACTGATTTGATCTCTTTGCTGTCCAGGGGACTCTCAGAAGTCTTCTAGCCCCACAGTTTGAAAGCATCAATTCTGTGATGGTCAGCTTTCCATATAGTCCGACTCTCACAGCCATACATTGCTACTGGAAAAACCATAGCTTTGGCTATATGGACCTTTGTTAGCAAGGTGATATTTCTGCTTCTTAGTATGGTGTCCAGATTTGCCATAACTTTCCTTCCAAGGAGCAAGCATCTTTTAGTTTCATGGCTGCAGTCACCATCTGCAGTGATCTTTGAGCCCAAGAATATAAAATCTGATACTGCTTCCATTTCTTCTCCCTCTATTTGCCAGGAAGTGATGAGGCCAGTTGCCAGTCTTGGGTTTTTTTTTATGTTAAGCTTCAAGCCAGCTTTTACACTCTCCTCTTGCCCCCTCATCATGAGGTTTCGTAATTCCTCTTCACTTTCTGCCATCAGAGTGGTATCATCTGCATATTTGAGATTATTGATAGTTCTCCTGGTAACCCTAATTCTGACCTTTGATTCATTCAGCCTGACATTTTACATGATGTACTCTGCATTTAAGTTAAATAAGGTGACACCATAACGTATTGTACTCCTTTTCCAATTTTAAACCAGTCAGTTGTTCCGTGTTCAGTTCTAACTGTTGCTTCTTGGCCTGTATACAGGCTTCCAGGAGACAAGATGATCTGCTACTCCCACCTCTTTGAGGACTTTGCACATTTTGTTGTGATCCACACAGTCAAAGGCTTTTGTGTAGTCAATGATGTTTTTCTGACACTCCCTTGCTTTCTCTATAATCCAGTGGATGTTTGCAGTTTGGTCTCTAGATCCTCTGCCTCTTGAAAAACCGTCTTGCTCTTTTGGTAATTCTCAGTTCACATATTGCTGAAGCATAGCTTGCAGAATCTTAAGCATAACCTTGCTGGCATGTGAAGTGTGCACAATTATTTGGTTATTTGAACATTCCTTGGCATTGCCCTTCTTTAGGATTGGGACGTAAGCTGATCTTTTCCAATCCAGTGGCCACTGTTAAGTTTTCAAAATTTGCTGACATAATGAGTTCAGGAATTTAACAGCATCATCTTTTAGGATTTTAAGTAGCTCAGCTAGAATTCTATCACCTCCACTAACCTAATGATTAGCAGTACTTCCTAAGGCCCACTTGACTTCATTCTCCAGGATGTCTGGCTCTAAATCAGTAACCACACCACCATGGTTATTGGTAATGTTAAGATCTTTCTTCTGTAGTTCTTTTGTAAATTCATGTCACCTTTTCTTAATTCTTCTGCTTCTGTTAAGTCTCTAGCATTTTTGTCTTTTATCATGCCCATTTTTGCATGAAATGTTCCCTTGATATCTCTGATTTTCTTGAAGAGATCTCTTGTCTTTCCATTCTGTTTGCTTCTATTTCTCTGCATCACCCATTTAAGAAAGCCTTCTTATCTCTCCTTGCTATTCTCTGGAATTCTGCATTCAGTTATATATGTCTTTCCCATTTTCCCTTACCTTTCACTTCCCTTCTTTTCCTGAGCTATTTGTAAAGTCCACCAGTCATTTTGCTTTTTTGCTTTTCTTTTTCTTTGGTATGTTTTTTATTGCTGTCTCCTGAATGATTTTGTGAACCTCTGTCCATAGTTCTTAACCAGATCTAATCCCTTAAATGTACTCATCACCTCCATATTCATAAGGGATGTTGATTAGGCCATTTCTATGTGGTCTAATGTTTTCCCTGCTTTCTTCAAATTAAGTCTGAATTTTGCAATAAGAAACAAGTTTCTATATTAGTCCTTGGAAATTGTGATTGGTTATTACACCGATCAGAATTTCTCATTCTTTCAAAGTTGTCTTTCTTTATCATAGTGATGTCATTGTGTAAATTGTTCTACTTATGTCCACTTCTCTCTGTGTCAGTTTATACAAGTGTTCCCAGGTTTCTTCAAAACCATTCCCTTGGGGCAGCAAGGTGGTACAGTGGCTAGAGCACCGGCCCTGAAGGCAGGAGGACCTGAGTTCAAATCGGACCTCAGACCAAACAGTTGTCACTTACTAGCTGTGTGACCTTGGGCAAGTCACTTAACCCCAAATACCTAAGAACAACAGCAACAACAACAAACCATCCCCTTAATCATTCCCCATAGCACAGGAGCGTCCCGTCACATTTATAGGCCATAACTTCCTAAGGCATTTCCGTGTTTGTGGACATCAGTCCCATCCTTTACCACCTCAAAAAGCTATAAATACTTTTGGACATACTTAGAATTTGATTTGCTTAAGACTGATTCCTCCCTTAATTTACCCTCCCTTTAATGCCCTTTCTAATTTTCTCTTCTCTTTGTCCTCATCCTCACCTCTAAGGAATTCTTTTCCCCTTTCTTTCCATTCTTCTAAGATCATCAAGACGTAACAGAATCACTCCTATGCGTTGTCTAATTAGACTACCTCTGTGAACATTGATGATGATAAAGATCCGAGGGGACAAGTATTGTCTTCCCTTATGATGTAAACAGTTTATCTTTGTTTAGTCATTTATCATTGCTTGTTCATGTTTACTTTTTTTATGTTTCTCTTAATTTCGAACTTCAAAGTTTCTACACAGCTCTTTTTATCAGGAATGCTTAAAAATCATGATTTTTCATTAAAGGACCATTTTTTCCTCCTATAGGATTATATTCATTTTTGTGAGGTTAAGTTATTCTTGGCTGTAGGCCTGTATCATTTGCCTTCTGGAATATTGTATTCCAGATTCTGTACTTCTTCAGAATGGTGGCTTCTAAATCATGTGATACTGACTGTTAGTATTTGAATTGTTTCTTTTTGGCTATTTGCAGTATTTTTTATTTGACCTAGAAACTGGATTTTGGCTATGATATTTGTGGGAGTTTTCATTTAGAGATTTCTTTTAAGAGTTGACTGGTAGATTCTTTTTCCACTTTACTCTGGTTCTAAGAGACCTAAGCAGTTTTCTTTAAGGGTTTTTGCAGTATGGTATTTAGGCTCTTTTTTTTTTTGGTCATGGTGTTCAGGTAGTCCAATGATTATTAAATTTTTGTTTCCTTGATCTGTTTTCCATATCAGTTGTTTCTATTTCTAAAGCCTTTTGACTTTGTTTTGATATTTCTTGTTGTCTCGTGGAGTCGTTGATTTCTACTTAGCACATTCTAGTTTTCAGAGAGTTTGTTGATCAGGGCAAGGTGTGGTAACTCTTGTGCCAAGCCATTAATTCCCTTTCCAATTCTTTCTTCCATACCTGTCGTTTCTTTTCCACTTTTTTTTCCTCTAATACTCATTGATAAAACTTTTTTTTAGCTCTTGTTTCAGCTCTTTCAGGAATTCTAATTGAATTTGTGCCTAACCTGTATCTTTCTTGGAGGCTTTGCTTGTAGATGTTTTGGAGTCACTCTTCTAGGTTTGTGTCTTGAGTGCCCATCACAATAATAACTCATTGTGGTGAGATTTTTCTGTTGTTTGCTCCTTTC